CAGTGATATGATTACACAAGCACGATGGTGTATCCACGCCTGTAATAATATTATGATGATAGTAGCAATAGCCTCATCCATATCTCTTACAGGGTTCAGCACATGATCAGATCACAAGCCTGATCACAATATCGTACAGCTTGTCCTGAGGAAAAAGAATACATTGCATTTCGTCAGTTTTATCTCACATTGCTGTGATGCAAGCGCAAATTATTTATCGTTAATCTTTTACCAAAAGCAAATTTCCAGTCCGATCTATACTTTAATTAGGATCGGTACAATTATATTTCAATTGCTTCTGATAACTATATTGCACGTCAGTAGATCGATCAATTCTAAATATTAGATGCGATTGTGAAAAATTAATGTACGCCCAATTGAAAACTTCTATGTATAGAATCTTGTTTTATTTATAAGTTCAACGTACAATTAATTCGAGGAAGATAAGAAACGCATGTAATTATTTTGAATAAACAGTATTTTTTCAACTTTCTGGCGTCTCATTAACATTATTAAAAATTTCAATTTCAATAAAAAAAAAAAACTCACCATACATAACCATAACAGTTGCCATGAAAAAGAGGATTAAGAAGAACTTCATGTTTTATTAGTGGAAATTCGAGTTGGTGCTCATAAATGTTCAATTTGATAACAGTGGTAAACGCACGACAGTTCAATTATTCTTATTTGTTTATAATTGTTTGCGGAATTCAATAATTGTTTTCATTATCTATTCTTAGTATCTCATGCTAATTTTCCGAGAAACGAATATCCGTCAATGCACGTACCGTAATTAAAATGTAACGTTTGACCTTTAATTTCCTGCGATAATAAATACGAAAAATAAAAAAATTTACATTGCTCGGTCTGACAAGGAATCACAATATGAAAAAAAATTTTAATTGTAAATTATCATTCTGCTGAGAAAAAAAACATATCAACTTTAACGTTATAATAGATCTTTATTTTTTTCACAAATTTTCGATGCTTCAATGTAGTCGGAACGTAAGCTTTTTACTCAAGGGTTCCATCATACGATGATAAAGGTAAATTAATATTTAGATGAGAAAAGGATATAGTACAGGAAGGAAAGAGTATGAAGAAATTTCAAGCTTATTTCGTTATCGTTTATTTCCAATTTCAATCCGAGAACACAATATTAGCAATGGCAATGGCATCGACTTTGGGACCTGGGGAAAAGACTGACAGGCATTTGGTAACAACACAGGAACCCTCCTGTTTTTGCACGGCTTCTCACACTGTCTTTTTACTGCAATATTGCACTGTCTTTTTATTGCAATAGTAGATGTGTCTTACAGAATAAAAGTATCAATAATTACAAGTTCCCGTTACGTTTGTCCCTTCAGAGTCCAATTCGATTATTATTTTCATGAAAATTCGAGTATTATTCGTTCAACAACTTTTACACATTTAAATTGTTCGATCGTTTGAACAGAAATTCATTTTTATGAAAATATGTAGACTTTCACTAAAAATCTCTGAAATGAGCATTCGTTTAACCATTGAATGATAATTTTTAGTTTAGAATCAAAAGAGATCTCTTTAGATATTAATTATTCTTGGAATCAATGCGAATAAAACTTCACCTTGTGAATACTTGCTATTGTTATAGATTTTTTATTCGATAAATTCGCTAATAACAGAGAAAATATCCATAGAAAAAGGAAGAAATATAAAAAATTCTATCGTAAACATTAGAATAATGTAATAAAATAAGATTTTAAATAAATTTGATCGCATTATTTTAATGTTAAATAATGAAGCTCATTTTAAATAATTTTATCCTTGTAATTGAGTAGCAGGAGCATCATAATTAATATGAAACTCACGATTGACGAGCACAGCCGCTACGACGGCAAAGAGGATCACGTAGAACTTCATATTTTATAAGCGGGAATTCAAGCTTGTTCGTGAATGTATGTAGGTATTCCTATTAAAAGCCCAATGTCAAGTGTAGACATCAGACTGACAAGACGAGCGTGTGACAAGCAAGCTTGCGCACTTAACAATAAACGCAGTAAGTCTGTGAAAACGGGCTTTTACGAGTGTACACGGTTTCTGACTGTAAAGTCAAGAGAGAGAAATTATGTTCTACACAAAGGATGTACAGCCACATTGGTGTGCATATAATGTAAAGAAGAATGCGCGACCCAACGCGGTACAATTTTTTTTATAATTATCCTCCGGAATTCGATAATCTCGTTATTTTCTATTCTTAGTATCTCATGCGAGTTTTCGAAGACATGAATATTTATCGGTCCACGTGCCGTAATTAAAAACACAAAAAAGTAACGATATACTTGTTTCCAAAATTTATATAATTCAATTAAGCAGGAAGTGGCAACAATTATTGGTTGAATTAAGAGAAAAGTAATATCGCGTAGATAAGGCTTAATTTCAAATAATTGCCAGCGATAATAAATACGAAAAACTGAAAATTTACATTGTCTTATCGTACAGGTAAATTAGGTATCGTATAATTATTGCACAAAGAAAAATTTGAACGTTAACTGATCATTCGGGGACGAAAAATAAACATTGAAAGAGACCTGTATTACTTTTGCATCGTTTCGATATATCAGTGAGATCGAAGCGGTGAGTTTGATATTGCTGCGACGACAAAGAGGATCCAGATAGAGCTTCATATTTTATTAGCGGAAATTCAAGCTTGTTCGTAAATGTATGTAGGTACCATTATTCCAAACAGATGATGTGTCGCGGCGCAGCGCGACAGCACATCAACCAAATCAAGATATTCTGAAATAGATAAGCAAAAGATACATTGGAAACAGTTTCCACGAGGACCGTACAGTCGTATCGAATAAAACATATCAATTTAATCCACGATCCTAAATCAGAGCTACAACAGGGCTATACGTGGCACAGCTTCATCCTTGCACCTACTTAATACACCGATTAAAGGCCTAACGAGGTAAACACATCCCTTGGCGCGCTTGGCAGCAGTGCAGCGGCAGCCGAAGATTAATCCGCGGGAGTTAATCTGCAGCAGCCGTTTGGGGAGGCGGTATTACCAGCTCTCGCGACGAAAAACTCATTAAGCTCGCTCTCTGGCTCGCGAACGTGCAGTTGGCCCGTGGCGCGCGCTCTCGCGGGGGGGCACATCGTCGCCGGCGCGACGTGTTCCGCGCGCTTCGATTTGTCGGACGTAGCCGCGGAGATAAGGCGCAATCGGCACTCGGGCGCGCCTTAGCTTTCTTCTCGAAGTGGCTCGCGGGTGCTCCCTCGAGGGAGATGCCGCTTGATGGGCTTGCGGCAATTGCCCGGCCGCTCTCGGCCTATCGATTAGCGCCAAATTACGCTCTCCGCCCGCGGCGCTTGGGCACTCGTTCGCGCGGGCGGCGCCCTCGCTCCGATCGGCGCGCGCGCGAGACCTGTGGCTCGCCGCCGAATCGAATGCGTGCGCGGCGGATCGATTTCGCATCTCTGCGCTTGGGCTCGAATGACGAGGAAAAACGAGGAGGGCGCGGGGGGCAGGCAAAACGATACTGCGCTCCCTCTCCGAGCGCCGCTAATGGGACTGTCACCCGGTCAGTCGCGCAATGATCCACGCCCTCGAATCGATATGCCACCCTTACGCGCGTGACGCTTTTTCGCCCTCTTTCACCCTCGTCAAATTCGCTCGGGAGATAAAGTTTCTCTCTCTCTCTCTCTCTCTCTTCCGTTCCGACTTGGCCGTTTCGTATCTTGCAAACTCCCCTTGTGATAGTAGAAGAAGAAGAAGAAGAAAAAAAGGCGAAGCAGAACTCCAAGTTCTGCTCTCTCTCTCTCTCTCTCTCTCTCTCTCTCTCTCTCTCTCTCTCTCTCTCTCTCTCTCTCACTCTGCAAGGAAAAAAACTTTGCTGGCTAATTTCTTTCGCTTATGCAACTTTGATTTTTAACTCACGCGAGAGCGAAAGAAAGAGCTAAACTCCTTTATTGTAGTACGACGAGGAAATTTAGCAGCGAGCTGAACGTTCTAATGAACTTCGATTTATCGTTGCGTCTATTTTCTTTTTTTCACCGGCGAGTTACGATGCGGGAAGGATATACGCCTGCGCGTGTACGAGACAGGAAGCCATGTTCGCTAATGAAAAATTCGACTGAAAAAGTTGCTCTGCTTGGAACCAGAAAAAGATTAGAGCGGCGTCATTCTCATTTACATGCTCGACCTTATAGCAGGAAACCCTTAAAGAGATTAAGGTCACTTCGTTAAGCGCAGCAACGTTCGAGATAATTAAAAAAAAGTAACGGTTAAGCCAAAAAGTATTACTTTCGCGGAAAAAGAAACTCGAGCATCCGCGTGAGCAAACAAAAAAGATACAGAGTAGGGATACCGTGTTGCTAAAAGTTTCAAGGAAATAATCGTATGAAAATTTCATGAACGAAAATATCGTTCCGATCTACACGTCTAAATAATGAGGAGAATCACAACGTCGTGTTATTGATAAATGAGGAAGCTTTTTAAACAGTTTGCTTGTCGATTGTATTTTCAAAAGTTGGCAAACGATTTTCAGAACCAGTGCTATTAATAGAGATAAAGATCGAATTTTAATATTTCAGTGCATATTCAAATATTGTAAGTAAACATTTTGAGTTCCTTATAGAGAAATGTAGGGCTTTTTCTTCCAAACTTGTAAACTATGCATCGATTAATATGAAAATAAGGTCGGTATGTAGATGAGACTGCGAAGAATGCTTTGTGCACTTCTTGCAAATAATTTTATTAAAATAAAAACATGCATCGCGTAAGAGCTTTTTTTTGTATGTACAAGCAGATTTTAAGTTAATAAAGGCAACAATTTTAAAAATCTCTGAGTAATATTTTTTCACTTCGTAAAATACGGCGTAGTATTTGAAGACCCAAGTAATTACCAACGTAAAGGTATTAATAGTGGCAGCTATCTCAATGTCTGACATTGAAGTTATTATGTACATATATATATAGTACGCAAACGTTCATAATAGATTATGTGCACAGAGCTGGGAATTGATGTTAATTGCATCGACGTAATCAATTGCACTAATAAATATACACTTTCAAGTGTGTGTTTTTTCCTAGTTTGAGTATATAAAATTTTAATATTCCAATTCGTCAAACAACTTGACTCATTTATTTACGCCTGTCATGAATACATATTAAAAATGACTTTCGACGCATGCAAAAGTTATTTACAAATAAATGCAAGTTAAATATCAAAACTGTTAAATACTTCCTCAAAATATTTCATCGCGGAGACACGAACAATAAAAAATATACAGTTTTCTTTTTCAATTTTATTAATTAATGCGATAGTTCTTAATTGTACGGATACATATGACTTAAATGATAGTAGCATCAGTATAGTTATTTTACATTGTAATAAGTTTTGTGTTTCATCCGAATAATGCTTTATAAGGTAGAAACTTCTTATTCACATGCACACGACAGACTCAGAGAGCTGTTTACTTGGCGTGAAATGACTTATCAGTTTATAACAAAATGCTCGATAATTAAATAAAAAAAGATGAAGTTGGAATCAGAATGCAAACATAGATTTTGAACAATCATCGAAGTCGATGCTTCTAGTCTACAACTAAAAATTAGTACGTGAGAAAAAATACATACACAACATGTTCGTCCATAAAAGCTCTTATACGTAGACGTTTGCACGATTAATTTAATTAATTATCGGCGATTATGAATCTAAATTTAACAAAACGACAAAGAGAAGCGAAATCCAGCAGAACACCAGCAAAAGAACTTATCACAAGCACTTTGATTCTTCTACGTTCGGTATATTCACGCAATTTTACTTCAAATCAGTCTGTCGTTGTGTCGATCGTCGAGATTAGAGCTCGATCGGTGATGACTGCGATGCCGTCTGCGCGGTGGCGTTGGCACGATCAGCGATGCCTCGATCGCCGACTCCTCGATCAAACTCGAACGCTGTTGCAAACGGCTCGGTTTTTCCGGAGGCATTTCTGCTGGATCTGAAAAATGTCACCGTCGTAATTGGCGAACTGGTCCTCTATCCACGTCACTTTATACCGACCAATCTCGTCGTTCCGCGAGTCATCGAAAGGATTACGCCTGTCGCGTCGATGATGAAAGTCGACGAGCCGATTGCTGTCACTCATCTCCTCGTTTGCCGTATTTCGATCACGAGTTATCGGTACGATGTGTGGTTCAGGTGACTTTTCTTCTTCCTTGTCCACGTAGGCATTCAGCGCTGAGTCCAGCTGCCGAGCCACCAACGCAGTATCCCCGTGCACGCCGTTCTCAACGATCTGCGGAGCAGGTGTTTTCATTCGCTTGCGCCTGATACTACGGCAACTGGTCGTACGTAGAGGCACGAAAGGATTCGAACTTCGAGGGGCGCGTGTAAATAAACTACATGAACTTGTAGAGGATTGTTGTTTTAGACTATTCAGCGTCCGTGTCATTACGTAAATTCAAATTCCCTCAATCGTAAACGAAGTTATACTCTTAAAACTGTTACAATTTCGCGCTGAGCGGTGTTTTTTTCTTCAACGAATGTCTGATAGAGATCGAAAAAAATGCAACGTACCGGCTGACTCTTCAATTCAGGACTAGGCGGCGGCGTTTGAAAAGTCTCCTGAGCGTCGACCTGCTTCGCAAGCTCGCCACTCTGTCTTACGATTTGTGACTTTTCTCCATCTTCCGCCTCCGCCTTCTCCCCGATCGCTTCATCTTCGTCGTCGTCGATTTCCTCGATGAGCATCTGGCATGGCAATGATTCATTTGACAGACTTCGCTGCACGACCATGATTATCACCTCTTTGTCGGGTAGCTCGATACTTGGCTCGACGAGCGCATCTAATGGCAATTTTACTTCAGAAAATTTACGAAAAAGGCCATGGAAAAGCGACGATGAATCAACGTGGCCGTGGCTTTATACGGGAAAATGAATGATATCACCAACAGGATGGATAAATGCAGTAAAAAAACAATTTTCATATGAAATCGTTGCTATGTCAAGAGAATAACGAGCTTGTATGATGTTTCTATTTTACGAGTTTTCAAACGTATTGAAAAAATTAAACGTGCAACACAATTGTCGTATAAGGGCAAGAGATCAGTTCATGCGAAAGAAAACATTTTAAAAAATCGACAGCCACGGCAACTGAAGGAAAATATATAAAGATATAAACGAGGTCACTTCTTCAACATTTCTAGCAGCAGCAGTTTACTCGAAAAACAAAAGTAAAGAAGCAAATCACAGGACTCATTTTTCGAAAAAAGATATATTCCCTTACAAATCATTACCAACCGGCGAAAGAGGAGGAAAAAAAAGGTAAATAACGAAAAAAAAGGTGAAACTTGGGCTCTGTCCGAGCAATAAAAAAGCATAAGAGGTAGCATCAGTCGAACTCACCTCCGAGGATGCCGGAGGACAATTGTTCCTCTCGGTCGTCGTTGGAACGCTCGGCAAACAGATAGCTGCTTCTGGACTCGTAACCCATGTCGCTAGCCGATGGCTGCCGCTGCGAAGACGAATCGCGCGACTCGCCCGACCTGAAAAGACAATGCATTTTCCGCTCGCTCCTCCTCTGTGCAAAGACTCTCGCTCTGGCCCTTATCGCGCGAAACTCGCACACGGGCGCAAGCGCGTTTCAATTCTTATCGAGAGGAGCAGCTTTATACGTAGCTATAAACTTCCCGACGATTTTTTTTTGCCATGCCAACTCTCTTTTCCCCGCCCTCTCTCTCTCTCTGTCTCTCTCTCTCTCTCTCTCTCTCTCTCTCAGGCAGCCAATTTTCATAGCTTTAGGTTAAGTGTGCTTTTATGCATGCGAGAGAGAGAGAGAGACAGAGAATTGAGCTTGTTAAGAGGTTCTTTGTGCTCGTCATAATTTTCATCTCTGTTTGGCCCAGGGATCGAGCACAAAATTGATCAATAATAGTTTTATCAAGCCCTTTCCCATCAGCGACGTCCTTTAAAGGATATTTTAAAATCTACCCTCGCAATCAAATCAAGTCGCGATTGTTCGTCGTTTAAATAAAATTAGACGAGAAGAGTTGATGCAAAAGATTGTCGGAAACTCACTGGTCATTGCAACTGTGAAAAGCATCGTGAAGATTGAACGACGAAGAGGGAAAAGGATCGACTTGTGCGTCAGCATGAGGCTGAGCTTTGACAGGAGTGGAAGTTTTGACATCCTCGGCTTGGTCGATCTTAAAAATCGAGTTATCCCCTGCGGCCTCGTCGATCCGTTGGTCAGCGTTGAAGAGTCTCTCGGGAGTCTGTGGCTGCTGTTGCTGCTGCAAGTTTATATATATACATATATGTGTGTGTGAGTGTACGCGCAGCAGAGATTTAGTACGAATTTTCTTTTCTGGAAACATCGGATAAAGTTTGTAAATCCGCTTAGCGCGCGCGGCGCGAGATTTCACAGAAAACGCAATTTACGACGTTGCCTCGTATAAATTCAAAGGCGACGCGCGGTCAGCTCGAGCTTCTCGAGAATGCATCTTATATCTATAATACGGACGTTTCTTGCTCAATAGTTCGCCCGCCCCGATAAGCGCGAGTGGCGTTTCATTTTTCGATGACTGTCTTTTGCGTAACCAATATTTCACGTTTCACGTCGATTTACGTACAGAAAAATGGACAACATAGTTCATTACATTTGTTCGAACGAGCCGTCATTCATAATTTACTCGACCGTCGTAAATTTGATTGAAAAAAGCATATAATTTCTTTATTAGAACAATTGCGTTCAGGGGCTCAGCACATATGTAACTTGGAAATATTCGTCAACTTTATTTTCAACGTTATTCAAGTCGAGATTAAAATTCTTTCGAGCTTATTACTTTAACGACTGACTTGCACGAAAACGTATTTTTAAGAGTAATTAACTAAAGATCGAGTTAATCCGCTATCGAAGGTTAATGTTACTGCTGGATTTCGATAGCACTATTTGACAAAACAAAGTGTTGCCTACTTCTGCTAAAATCGTCTTGCAAATAAAGACAAATAAATGAACGGAATCTATCTTTAGTGATAATCGTGAGTCGTTATTCAGACGGTACCCAGTGTCAATCGCAATTGCGGTTATACTCATAATTAGTAGCAATGTGTCATCCGACCAGTAGAAATTGATAGCCTGTAGATAATTACTCGTTATTCTTAGTTTACGATAACAAAAAATGTATTTTATCAAAGATTATATGATACTTTCTACGTGCATTTTTAACGTCTCCAAATAGATTTCGATAACATCGCGAAAGGCAGAGCATCAGACGCGTGAGTATCAAAAATCAGTGTATCATCGTTCGTAGTTTACATTTACCCTCGAGCCATCTACCATTTCGCAAAACAAAAAGAAATAACACATCCACAGCGAAAAATCGCAAGCCAAACAAAGCACATCAGCACCACACTCACCTGAGGGAACACAAAGAGCGAAGTGTCGTGTGGAAGGGAAGTAGTTTTCATATGCCTCGGTGGCCTTTTCGCTTCCTCTTCCAGCTCCTCCTCGGGTAGTTCAGGCAGGCTAAAGGTGCTGCGGTTCTTCTTTGGTCTCGTCGGCGACGCACGGATTACCTCTGAACTTTTTTCCAAAGAGCGCTCGAGCTGTTTTTTTTTCGATAAAAAGTTATTAGCCATCGCGCGCTTCATTAGCCGACGTTCATTTTCTTTGAATCGAGTTTTTTCCATTTCCCAGTTGCCTAACCATCACGTGCGTCGATTATGCATAATTACGGCCGATTGCCGAGCTAATACGGCTTACCGATAGAAACTTTGAGTACGTAATCGTTCGAAATAATTGCTTTCGAACATCAAACAAATCTTATTTATAACAGCACCAGTTAAACGCTTTTACGACGTTCACACTCCAACAGCTTTTGAAAAGAAACATGAAAATTAATTATCCATCGTGAATACGTCGTAAAACGGTTAAACTGCACTGTTAAGTTGAAACGTGGTTATCCGTTCATTTGATGTACCAACAAATCAAGAACAACCTCCGCACCTTCTACAAAAATTAATAAGAGTTGATATGAATCTTCGATCGAGCGGGAAATAATTTCCTCGTGAGTTGCTCGACGTAGAAGCGATAGAAATGAGCTCATTGTCTGCCACGCGACAGTTGCGAATCCCAAAGCTATACGTAAATAAATGAAAACCAACCGCAACGAACTCATCGTCGGAATCTCTGGTGCCATCGTCATCGATACTTTCGGTCGAGCGACTGGCGTCAAACTGTGGCGAAGCATTATTGGCGTTGTCGTTGTTACTTTGGAATCGGGGCCGTCGCTGCCGGCGTCTTCTTGGCGGTGGCACTGGCGCGGCAAGTCCGACGCTCGCCGAGCTCACACCTGCGAAAGAGCAAACCTCGTTAAGGCAGATTTAATTGACGAGTGGTAATCTCGTAAAAGGCAATGTGCAATGGTCGAGAACAGCGCAAAGTCAATGAAATTATCACGCCGGCAGATGTGAATTGACAAAGCAGCGACGTAAGACGATGCTCTCTCGCGCGATTGTTCCAGTCTCTCGGGAAACGATGTGACGTTTGACTGCGATTTTCGACTGAATATTTCATATCGAGGAGTTAAACGCAGCATCCGCTACCTACCATTGAGTCTGGACAGGTAGCTAGAGCTCCTCTGGTTAGCAGCGTCGAAGAGAGCGCTATCCAGCGGCTCGCAGGCAACCTCAAGATTAACGTCCACCCATTCGCTCGGATGGAACGGCCTGTCCACCGAATCGATGCTCTGACCACGCTGCAACTGCTTCCGTGGCGCGCTACCGCTGCAACACATATCGCCCGCGAGCGTTATTTATAACTCCGCTGCGGAATTACTCGACGTTTTTTTTTCCTCTCTCGCGCCTCAATTGATCGGTTTTGGCCTGATAGATCGCTGGATTGTTAAAGCGTTTGGCTCGCTGCGATTATTAATGGGCCTTGCTGGCCTGTCTCCCCCCTCTCTCTCTTCGACGCACGAGTTGTTTTATTTTTCTTCCTCTTTTTTCTATTTTTTCGCTGCGTAGTTTTGGTTTCGCTCCAACGATGTTCGTGCACACGACAACGCATCGATTTTTAGGGAGCAATCAATAATCGACGGCGAATCAAGCACTGTTGCATTGCGATTCGTGTCGTCAAAAAATTCAAAGCGCACCGCGCCCATCCACCGACGAAAAGTCATTGAAAAACACTGCGCCGATTACGCGTACGACACTCGACAACTCAGACTCGAAAACGAAGAAAGAAAAAAGAAAGCAACTGGATCCCAGCTCGACCGCGCGGCGCATTTTCTTCGGGCTACGCGGGCGACACCCGACGAGGCGTCGATAAAAGGCAGCGGCAGCGACGTTGCATCTCGGAAGCGATAGCTCGCCCAGGGACGACGCACTTGTCGGTGGGCGCAAACAGCGTGAAAATTCAAGGAGGGAGGGCGCGCGAGCTTGACCGGTAATTAGCGACGCCCGTGCGTGTGTGCGCAAGCTAATGCGAAAGTAAACAGGTTTGTCTTCGCGCGCCGCCGCGGCCTAATTACGCCCTATGGCATATGCGCCGCTAATTATCAGTATTGCAGGCGAGCGGCGGCGCAGTTTGGGTAACGACGTGCAGTGGCTTGCATCTTCGATGAGGGATTCTCATCGCGCTGGGGCGAGAGTTGCCGCACGACGCGCCTTGTTTTTTTTTTATTTGGAGGGTTGCGAGTGGGGGGAGGGGGAGTATGCTTTTAACGAATGTGGGTCGAGTTTTCGTATTTCACTTGATCGGAAAAACAAGGAATTCACAGTAGATCGATTCGACTTCAGTACAATGGTTTGTCGACTTTGTAATTGTTTTTCACGCTAGCCTTATTCGAAGTAGTACATGAAAGACATTTAGATAATTTACATAGATAGGAGGCGAGCGAAAGTTATATGGTACTAGGAAATACCGAATAGGTATTATACAAAAAAATTTGAATAAATTTTTGTGAAAAAAAAGTTATGTAATAAACTAACGGAATTTCGTTGGCCTCCTCAATATTTCAAATTATCCTCATTTCAATACACTAGTACTCCAAAATAAAAATATGTATGAGCGACAAAAGTTCAACTGACTTTTTTATACTTTCGTGCTACAATTTACGTTAAAAAAAACAGGCGGGCATATCTACGAATTGGCATCCCTGGCACACATGTTGAGTATAGTGTCGCTCGTATTCCAGTATTTTTAACACTAAAGCTGCTTACTATACACTCAAACGTAAAATATACGTTTTACAAAAAAATTGTAAGAAGCTTTCTCTTATAAAATAGGTCATGCATGCGCATAAAAAACATTCGCACGAAAGAATACGACGAAAAGCAATACTTTATGCAACAAATCACGCTTGGTAAGAAAAACATTTGGAGGGAAAAATAAGAGCACTCAAAATATATGCTTTTAACTCCTCTTATGAAAACGAAAACCTTACAAATTGAAGCCATTTGATTCGTGACCTGATTGGCTGAAGGATGTAGTCACGTGACCAGTCGTTATTCGATGACCTATATATATATATATATATATATATATATATATATATATATATATTGAAATGTTTATGAATATAACTCATGAAATATGATTAAAAGTTGAAAAAGTGTATCTGTATAGTTTAGATGAATTTGATTAGAATTGATTAAATCACACTATAACCGCAATATAAAAATAAACGACTGATATCTCGATAGAGAAATTAATTGAATTTTCCTCTATTCGAAAGTTCAGCTTCGAATAAATAAAATAGAAAATAATATTAATAATAATATTAATAGAAAATAATAATTAATAATATAAATCGATAGATTATCATGATAAAATCTGTATAGTGATTTAGGCTTTATTGTGTTACTGAAAATATTGGACAATTATTTTTGGAAATGCATTAATTGGAATCGTAAACGTTTACTCTAGTATGTTATTTACATCATGAAGAATATTATTATAGAAAACCATAATGATTTTAGAACTTATGTTGCAATTGTTTATCGTGTTTGAAAATTTTTTTATGATTTTTCAACACGAGACATTGTACGATAAAAGCTTAAATCGTCGACTATATCTTATGTCAAAATAAATCATAGGAATATTTAATGCATATTGATTTGTCGAATTTTCAATTTCTTCAATAAAAGTTTTGATCTATATTCGCGCATTAAAATAAATACGAAAAAAGACGAAAAAGATGAACGCGCCAAGCGTCCTAGACATCATTAGTTCATATTAAAGAAAAATGTGCGGTCAATAGCTTGCAACGGCCCTGTCACGGAATCAAAGAATCTCACAAAAAAAAAGTAAATCACGAAAGCTCGTTTCGCGATAAATCTACTGGGACATAACAGAGCCAGCGACTAGTTTAATTGACGTGGCAATTCAAGATCAATCGTTGACAAAGATCATCCAATTACAAACAGAAACAACGCAGCGGAACGTTCGAATTTGCATTCCGCGGCGGCTCTCCTATGCATAATGCAGATTTCATTCAAAACCGTTCGTTCAATCGATCTCGGCCGTTATTAAGCAGCAATCTCAAGCACACAATATTCCCTCGTACATATAAATAAACATCCTCGAACTGCCAGTGAATTAGCATAGGTAAACACGAAGTCTCCCACGCCGACAGGTAAAAGAAAAGAAAAAGAAGGATACGCGCGTTCCCCCAAAAACGGCATCTCGCGCGCGCGTAGGACGTAGAGCGCGAGTCCCGTGAATCATCGTTTGGTTTCGAAAAAGGTATCGTGGCGCAGGATGCATCCGCGTTTAGACGACGGCGGAGAGAGAGAGAGAGAGAAAGAGAGAGAGAAGATCTAGGTCGATTTCCTCCATTTTTTTTCGCTCGCCTGTCGCGCGGTCCAGTTTTCGCCTCGGCTCACGCGCGCTCTCCCTCTGTCTCGCTGATGTGCCAACACGCAGGACGCGTTCTACGTGTCCGTATGGTGTGCGTGATAAGCGGAAGAGATATTTATGGGGTTTTCGCGCGCGCGCGCGTTAAACTCGTTCTCGTCTTTCCTCTTTTTTTGCGTCACTTCTGCCTCGCGCCGCTCTGATTATGAGTTATTCCAGCTGGATTCTTGCGTTGCTTTCGCCTCGAGATGTTTGTCATCTATCGCCGAGATCAGGAATGTCGATGCCGAGACGCTTTTTGTCCACATTTTTTCTTTTAATGCCCTGGCCTTTCATAGAAGCAGCCTGGCTTATTTTATCTTCGGGAATAGCGCGTAACTCATAAAATTTGCATAATCCAGTGTAGTACCGATTTAGTATCATTTTATTCCCCGTGTAAATTCCCATTTTATTGGTACACGTTTTATAAAAACCGGCGAAAATTGGTATCGCCGGATACCTTCAAAATTTGTTACACGCCAATCGAAGCATTACGAAATAATCCCACAGAAAAATACGGAGAGCATGTATTCAATGAACGCAATACTTCTGCGAAATAAAATGAAATGAATAGATCAATAAGAGAGGAAACTCCATCGGCGGCGCTTCGTTACTTGCTCGCGCGCGCGCGGCAGACTCGGCACGCATAAGCAACTCTGCACGCTCGTTCGCGCGGAAAGCATCGTCGCCGTTTGTTCAGCCGAGCCACGCGCACGTACGGCCATCTCGTTCTCCGCGGAGCCGACAGATATTCCACGATTTGAATTCCAAGCGTAAAGTGGCAATATTACGATGGCGTGTTCATATACCTCGTGACCCGTTGCGCAGCGCCGGCCCCAAGGCACGAGCCGTCTTCCTTCAAGCCTGGATAGATCTGCAAACACAAGAGATACACCAAGTCGTGCGAGAGAATGGAAGAAGCGCCACTGCGTTTATCGACGCCGCTCTCAAGGACGCGCCGCCGTTAACCCGCTGCATCTCTCCCGCTCGCCATTGTCTCTCGCGATTGGGCCTCGGGCTGCCGTGCCTCTCGCGCGCGAGCTATTGTCCGGCCGCGGCCGGACGACGGAACGTCACGGGGCGCGGGCCAGCTTTCGGTGGGGAAAAGCTCCGAGCTCGGGGAGGCCACCTCGTGGGATAAATAATCGAGGACAATTACGCCTCCTCACCCCCCCCCCCCCCTCTCGAAATTGCCCGCGACGAGGTGGTCCCAAACGAGAGCGAACGCGCGCGCGCACTTACGAGGCCGCGAGAATGAGGTAACTGAATTATCGGGCTCGAACACAATTGGCGAAAAATTTTCCCTCGCGGGGGGCCAATGCCCCTTTGTGCGTACCGGCCTCGCGGCGCATGTATTTTTCATGATCTTGTTTTTTCTCTGATCCCTTTTTTTCTCTTTTGCTTTACGATTGAATTGCCAAGTGTGAGAGATACTCGATATGAGTTTTCGTTTATTCGCTTCTAACTTTGCATTTTCACTTACATGAGTGCGATCGAGAGTATTTTTGAGCGATCAGTATAAATGTTCAGTGGCTATTGATTTTATTACGATTTTAACGCATCTTGTACATTGATGGCATTAGAGATCGCTGATGGGCCTTTTTTTTTCTATCAAATGAGATACTTTATTAGCATGATTATAATGTCTTGGGTTCGCTTTATTCTACTGATTTTAATTTTAACGTTATTTTCTTTATAATCACTTCAAAATAAAACTAAAACGAGAATATAAACCACTCAACTTCCGATAAGTAAAAAAAAAGACTCGAATTTTCAATTCATGAATTCAAAGTGTCACTGAAATTAATCCTCATCGAATTGTCCTCAACATCAAATGGTCTAATGGTTCTAACGGCTCTACCTCTCGCTCTCTCTCGATGTGTTTTTAACGTTAACCTACAAAATTCATGTCAAGTTTCGTGTTTCAACACACGCTCAGAGACGCACATGTCGTCGTAGCGCTGAAGAACCAAGGAAACCGGTTCAATACTCGCCTCACCTCGCGCCGTATTCGAGTTTTGAGCTTTCCCGTCTACAGACGTTGTGTATTTGCGTGACGACAACAAATAATTGCTCGTCGTTGAAAACAAAAATAAAAAAAGAGAGAAAAAGGAAACAACGCGTAAATCGTTTTCTCGGACCTCGTGTATACGAAAGAAACGCGCGCGTTAACTCGGTGTCCGCGTATGCATTACACATTTGCCTGCCCGGGAGAGCGAAGCCTCGGCGGACTGCACAGCGGGTTTACATTGCAAATTCGTTCACCGAAACTCCTGTCGCGCGAGCAAGTTATTTGCCGATTAAATTAGAGCTACGAGAGAGCTGCGCCGTTATAGTTGGCGTCAGCGGCGTTTAAATGTCGAGGACGCGCGACGACGAGTGACAACTGTTAGACGCGCTTGCCCGAGGGCGAGGGTCAAAAAAAAAAAAAAAAGATGGCTCGCTCGAGTCAACAATCGCAGGTGCAAAGCTAATTTTGTTGCATTTGGTAAGGCTCATTTCGGCGATCCCTTTCAATTGAAAATACCGCTAATCCCTCGTGAATCGCTCGTTAGTTTTGTTTTATACTTTACCCGCGAACCTGAGCGCGACCAGCGAATTTCAAAACTTCCAAGCAAAGCGACGCTCGGGAAAACGTTCACGTTAACAAACTAGAATTTGGAAAAGCTTGACGCGGGCGCCGAGAGAGAATAAAAATAAAACGTTGTGCCGGGATATTTACGAAAGGAAAAAGAAAAGAAAGCCGAACCCAACCCCGATTACTGCATCAAACCAATTCTAAAACGCAAGAGCTCATTAAAGTCCCGTCATTATTACCCAACATGCAGCCTTTAAAGCCTGGTTACAAGCTTCACTCTGCGTCACTCGTTAAACATTAGATGCGAAAAATGCAATTAGCAGCAGCGCACTTTCAAAATCGCGCATATATTCAATTGTCGTCGAGGTAGCTGTCGGTATAAATCCGTCAACGGGATCGGAAGACGAAGCCGTTCGTCTTGTAGCGACGATTTATCGAGCGGTTTTTTTCTGTCTCTTTTGCGGCGCGAGAAAGGATTTTGCATCGGCGAAGATAGTGAATTGAGAGTGTTTTCAGGCGAGCCGTCGAACGCGATGCAAATTCGAATTTTTGAAGTTGAGCGTTTGGCGCGAGACGTTGCGTAAACTTGGAATTGAAGGAGCGTTACGCAAGCAATTTCGCCGAATGATCGGCTGAGCGATAGCGATCGTTTGAGAGATACATTAATGTATTGTTGCATTCATCGCGGGGAGAAAAGGCTGGCTGCGCACAAACGATCGAGTAATTTAAAAAGTGACCCCCCGCGCGCATCTAATAACGCCGGCATACTGGCTCCACGCTAAACATCGAGAAGGATCCTCGGCCAAAACATATTCGGGATGACGGGTCTGTCCCAAGCGAGCGAGATAAAAGAAACACGTTGAACGACGCGCGATCGAGCCATACGCTGCCAAAAATCGTCCGCCGATCATCGCGTCCCTCGCCTTTTACGGCGCAGAGGCTCCACGCGCCAACGAAGATAAGCACGGTGCTTGAATTTTTGGACGAGCGGCGCAGTACGCGATAGCCGGCCGGCAAAACAAACGAAAAGCAATGTCGTTACTTAGCGCCCTCGTCTCCATTACGGGGCGGATGACAAATTCGCCTGCAGGTAATGCTCCAACCATTAGCGCGCGTGCACCGGACTAATGAATCGCGGGCGAAACTATTTGCAGTGGCGCCGGCGCACCGAAAACCTTAATAGACGCATTGCTCCGGCTATTATCGAGTCGTGCCGGCAGGCCAGTCGTTACCGGCGCTGCACTTATCGCCGGTAATAGGCGTTCTTTTTGTTTTGTTTTGCTTCTTTTTTTTTTTTTTAAATTGCGCGCGGCGTTCACCTCCGTTCAACGAGCGCTCTCGAAGCGAATCCCGATCGCGGGGCTAACTAACTGTAAAGCTGCGACTCTTGCGGATATCGCCGAGCAATAGGTTGCGCAGTGCGATTTTAATAGGCGCACGGGCGAAACGGCGCGTATGTCGCGAAATCGACGAATTTCCAGAACAAGCAAAAAAAAAAACAAAAGCAAAGAACGGTTGAAAACAAAAAAAGGAAGAAAAAAAAAATTGGATTTCACGTTGCACGCACCGAGATAGACCAAACTGTCCTTCAATGGTTTGCAGCAGTAAAACTAGTAGTATGTTACACAACGTGCACTCGGCGGAGCAGAACTTTTGCATCCTTGAGCCTCGACATATATATGCACTACATTGTTTAGGTGTATACGTAGGCTCGCGCAAGATTCGAGTGATGCTGTTTTGTTTTGCGTGAGCAAAGTGAGCGGTGTGGGACTGTGTTCCTCGGCAAGAAGAGAGAGAGAGAGAGAGAGAGAGAGAAGTCGAAATTGTTTGCTGCCTGCGCGTTTGCACTGATAATTTATAAACGATATAATGTCGACGTTTTCTACTGAAAGGTATTTTCAGCTAAATTTACAACACGATAACTCACCGCTGAAAGTTTATCGCGAGAAAACGTACCGTAAATGAATATCATTATCGTTATGGTAACGGGATACTAAGACACGTCAATTCGCCAAATCCTCGTATAAATCACGGCATTAAATCAACTATTCGATGCTAAAGTGTCCTTCCTCGGCGATACGCTCGCGTCGGGAAACTCCACTCGTTCTCAAGAACAAAAGGCGTCTTTGAGCAAAAAGAAAAACGACGACAGCGCGTTGCCTAATGGCGTAGACAATTGATTGGTTCCAGGCAGTAAACATTCGAGTGACATAATTAACGACGGCGCGGCGGTACGTTTCCGGCGATGGCGCCGGTATCGCCAGCCAACCGATTTCCTTCGCGTCGCGGCATTACCGTCGGCTTATAATAATCATCGAAAGGTTCAACGGCACACTTTTTGCCCGCACGCCGATTGATAACGGCTGCACGCTTTGCCGACATTGCGATAAAGTTACGACGCGGCCTCGGTGCGCCTTGTTTTTCTTATCGAGTAATTCAATGCTATACCTTGTAGCCAAGCTCCAGCTGTGTATCAAAGTAATTATTCGATTTCAGGCAGATTTCGCTCGTAGACTTGTCGCGAGCGTCGCGTTTATCGTTTGATCTCGATTTACAACTCGACGGCATTGCAACGAGGCATTTCTGAAATTTCAAAAAAAAAAAAAAAAAAATGGAATCGCATGTTTCACCGAAGCAGGACGTGCAAGTACATAACAAAGATTTTGTCAAGCTCGCGGCTAATCGCACGATACACACTTAAGGGATCTGGGTCGAGCTGTGCGCGAGCTGAATATTGCTGTATCGCGCGGGAATCAAGTCCTTGACAAATTAATTTTCACTTTGGGATTCGGGTCGCACGAGCAACAAAGGGAATTCATTCTCGCGAGAGGCCGGAATCGATTTGAAGACGAACCCATCACGACAATAGAGAAAACTCACCTTGTGCGCGCATCTAACGAAGACACGATCGAGCGGCGATTTGGAGTCCTGCGCCTTGGCGGACTTTTCTTTGCACCACGCCTGTCCCATGTCTCTCTTCTGCCGCTGTGTTACAATAATCTAACCGACCTGCGCTCCAGTCATGCCCATCGTGTTTCCTGGAAAGATCCGCCGATCGTAAAAAAAACCTGTTTTTGCGTGTGCCTATGCGTATACGCGTTTTCGCGCGTGCGTATTGACTAATTGACTGCGGATAATTTCAATAACGGCGCGATAATCATGGTGAAAGCGGCTTCGCTTTGTTGCCGATATTCTCCATGCAGGCTTGTAATGAGGATGACGACGGTTTTGTTTTTGTCTCTCGCCACCGAGGCAATTGCGGATGGCGTGGTTTTTATCGCTGATTGGATTTCGATTGATCGGTCAACGCGAATGTGCGCATCGCACTTTTACGATCGACAAACACGCTTGCACGCGAATACGTACAATTAGACGTTGAAGAGACGTTCATTCGAACTTTCACGAATAATATTATAGACTCGCTTGCACGAAAAGATGTGTAAGCTGTCAAAGTAACTTCGAAATGAAATCTAGAGGCTTCTTTTACGTATTAACTTATCAAAAAAAAGTCACTCTCGCGAAAGAACGTTGTTTCTTTTCCTCGTGGGTTCTCCAGACTCATCTAGCATAAAAAAGAAAAGTCGGTCTAACGCAGGTCAACCCACGCCAAACGAAAATTACCGAGTCCCCATCTCGCCGTAGAAGACGAAAAAGAATCTTTCGAGAGAGTGCTTCCCATGAATGGACACGTCCGCCGAGAGGATACACGCCAATTGCGCAACACAGCGCCGATTTTTGAAAGCAGAGAGCGCGAACCGCGCGCAGCAGTACCGGGTGCAGAGAGAGAGAGAGAGAGAGAGACAGAGAGATAGGATATATCGAGGAGAGAAAGTGCACAACCTAACTGCTTATCTCGCTGTCTTTCGGCTGGAACGGGCGTCGTAGCGAGGACGCGCTTCTGCCGGCACTGAGCGAGGCAAATCGACTTCCGCGCGCACACACAACAACGACTCACGCGAACTTGGTCGCCGGAGAGATCGACGACGCACTGTGGCACGGCACGATGTATAATATCCACGCAAAATCCGAGGTCTGCGATGCTGGATCCGGCACCTGCGGCCGCGAGTGCGACACTGGCTTTCTAACCGGCTCGCTCGTTTTACAGCCTCCGCTGTGCCCAACAAACGCGCGCGCACACACACACACACACACACACACACACACGCGCGCGCGCGCGCGCGCGCGTACGTTCTCTCCCACCTTGCGAGGAACGCGATCTTCTACTATATACCGCTTGGGCCCGCGACATGAGGCCGCGCGGCGCGTGTCGCACCTGCATTTCTTTTTCGTCGCGGGCGATGCCGATTCTTTCACGAGTTCACAAGAGACGTTGCGCCCCTCGATAAAACATATTACCGTTGAACTCCGGCGCGAACGTAGATAGGCCAGCCGTCGCCGTCGCTTTTTTTCGCACTGTACCGCTGGCGAAATCGAATGCAGCGCCCACGACCTGGTTAATTGCCGTGGTCGACGATACCCTATCGTATACCGACCGTATACCGGCATTGTCTCTTTTATCGCTCGCGTTCACATTCCGAATGATACCAAGTACGGATGCGCACTTCCACGTCCGCGTCGACCGGGCAAAAAACCTCGCGACCCAGTAATCAGCGCTAAAAGACGTCGTGCGCTCGTAACAGCATGACGATTGTTTTTCTTCGTTTGATCATTTTTGTGTTTTTTTTATTTTTCTTAGTTACACGAAAGCTTATACCGAGGGAATGAATAATAAGCACGCGCCGACTCGATTACTCGGAAAAATGCGCATCAGCTTGTTGCGAGGAACTTTCTCCGAGTGTGCGGGCCGAGTGAATCGTCACGTGCGCGCCCGTTTCTGCGACCGACGATCGCACCGCGGTCGGAACGGACAACACGCCTAGCGCACGACCGAGTTGCGTCAAAGCTTCTCTCTCTCTGTCTCTCTCTCTGTCTCTCTCTCTCTGTCTCTCTCTCTCTCTCTCTCTCTCTCTGTCTCTCTCTCTGTCTCTCTCTCTCTCTCTCTCTCTCTGTCTCTCTCTCTCTCTCTCTCTCTCTCTCTGTCTCTCTCTCTCTCTCTCTCTCTCTCTCTCTCTCTCTCTGTTCGCGAGCTGAGAGCTGAATCTCGTGCGCACCGATTGCGCGCGCGTGAGAGAATTCGCCGCGAGCATCACGCGCGTATTCGCCGAGCGAGGAAGAGAATGCGCCAGTGACTCACCGCGCGTCATCGCCTCGCTTCCCTTCTCCCCGCGCGCATCTGCATCGACCAACGAAATCCCGCGAAAATCCCGCGCGGCTCGTCTTCGATTTGAAGCCCGGCGAAGAGGCCGCGGGGACGCCGAGTAGGAGCGCGCGCAACGCGAAGAAATCGCGACGCTTCGTTTCAAGGCTTCAGCCCGTCGCCTTACGTCAGCGCGATCCGTCCCCTTAACTCAGTTCCCACGATGCGCGCAACTGCAATGCCATTGTCGATTCGCGCGCTACTGTCGGCAAAGCCAGGGTGGCGACAGTTTGTCATGAGAGGATAACAGGCGGATGATGCGCTTTTGTTATTGTTTTCGTCTGCTCAATCCCCCCCCCCCCCCTTCAATGTACGCACGATGACGATTGTCGGGGCTTTCACGACGGCGCTGCTTTATTCTCCTTTTCGCATCGCCGAATGATACCGCGCGAACTTTCGATGACGTCTTGCGCGCGGTAATTAGCCAAAGTTCGAGTCGAGCAAGAGGTATAGTAATTTGAAAATCGCGTTTGCCTCAACTCGTGGCTAGCAACGAATTATTTCGCGCGTAGACCTTGCAACGGAGTGCCGTTCGGTTTTTTTGCACGCTGCGTCGCGCGCCACATAATCGCCAAGTTAACGCGATTACAATGATAGTTATTAAACGAGGGCGCGCCGCGCGTGAACCTCAGACGGGACGCGCGAGCGTCGAAACGGCTGCGACGCGTAAGGTGCCGTAGAAAGTCAGAGCGCGAATGAGGCAGCGCGAGCGCAAGATTCAGCTCGCAGATCACAATCGGAAAACATCGAGGCAGCTACGTAGACACGCTGCTCCCGCGCTTTCTCGCGAGTGCGCGATAACGTTCGCTCTTCGCCTCCCCCCGCCGCCACCCGCACAGCCCCTTTCTTCTCGAAAATAAGAGTGCTAATGCATTCGCCCACGATCGCGGAGAAAACGCGAACGATTAACGGAACGGCGTGTATGAGGCATCCGCATGTCTAATTCCTTGATTGCGAGCTTTAGAGATGATCAACACAAGCACGAAGTCGTATCTGCGCTAGCCGCATGGTTTGCTTCGCGTACCACTCTGTCGTATTTCTTTTTAACGGCTGACAGAAATTCTCACTTGATATTCCGTGTGGTAATGATCGCGAATAGTTTGGTTATATTCAAGCGGCGACACGAGTATGCGAATTGATTGGCTTAATCATATATAATTATTTGATGGACTGCTGTCACGTTAATGTCATTTGAGAGTGTAATGTAATTTATAATTTTATTTATGGAAATTTGATTGACGAGAGAAGCGCCATGAACAAGTTCTGATGCTTTATTATGACTGATTAAATTTCATGAAGTTTTTATTGATTAAAATTATCAATAAACAATAAGATAATGTTCCTAATATTTAAGCTCAAATTATATAACAAGTTTTGTAAAATGGAATTAAAAAATGTTTTTGAAAAAAATCATTATTATGTTGCTTCGTACAATTTTCAAGCTGTAAAATATTTATGTTATTATTTTTTATATACTTTTGTACGTTATTTGAAGAAACAAATAGAAGATTGTGGTTCATTTATATTCTTGAATTTTTTATTCAACTTCGCTTTCCATCAATTATATGAATATTAATTCGAAAATCTAAAAAACGAGAAAAAAATGTATTTCAAAAAAATATGAAAAAATTCAGAGTGATTCTTGATAAAAATATGAACAGTTTTTCTCTTTACATTTTTGTTGTATGTTAGTTACTGTAGGAAATATAAACGATAAAAAAAAAGTTACTATTTTTTTGACAAAAATCACCATAACTCGGTTAGTTGTTAAACTGGAAAAAAGTAATTAAAAAAAGATTAATAAGTTCTTGGAGAGAGCTTGAAAACCATTTGTACAACTTTTCTAAATGACTTATCTATCGAATTGTGCAGGTTTAAACAGAATTTAAGATATTACATTTTCTCAACGTCCATTTCAAAGTAATAAAATGATTAAAATTAGTTAATAAATTTTCGTAAATTACCTAGAAATACCTTTCAAATGAGCACTCGTTAACATCTGTACGACCATTATTAGTCGAAATACAAAACCTTGAATTTTACCTGATTTTAGTCACTTGTGGCCCTATTTTATTGTCCAACATTGTATACAAAGCAATTTCAATTCATTCCAAGGCACATTCGTGAAACGTTTCACTCCCACAGGTACGCATAGAAAAAGCGATTAGCCGAAATGACGCCTACTTAAAAGCCCATTGACGTCCATAACTATATTGTTACCGGTGAAAACAGCCGTCAGACATCGCTGGCAAATGGGCAGTGCCCATGGCCCTTCAAGCGCTGTATCGTTTTCCCACTACGGGGCTTGTGGAAAACTGACCTGCTATCCTATATAAACCAACCCCCGACAGTCAGTCGAGTCAGTTAGTCGAGTCAGTCAGTCGAATCAGTCAGTCGAATCAGTCAGTCGAATCAGTCAGTGAGTGAACTGAACACATTCGCCATGGCAGCTTTATTCTTGTGGATACCTATCGTGCTTGTGCAACTATCCTTGTCCGTCCTCGGCAGGGACTTGAGCTATGTGCCCCGTGCCATCGAGGTGGTTCGCTGGCGCCAGCCGGTCTGCGCAACAGCTAGTCCGTGCTACCGATCACCCCATGCCAGCAACGAGAAGATGGTGAACGTTCGCGAGGTACGCAGCGTAATCCTTTTGGAAGATTTGGAACCCTCGAGCATTGCAATGCCGGAGATGTACGAGAAGCCTGATGCGGTGGATCACAGCGAGAAGCCCCGTTCCACCGGTCTGTACGCGCACGACGAGCCGTCGCCTATTATCGTCACGAAGGTGATCGATTCGCCGATCGTGGCGATGATCGTCACGAGCGACTGCATCGATGGCGTGCCGTCGTGCGAGCAAGCGCTGGACGAACCATTCGTGGAGCACGACACGTTCGGACGTACTTTCGGTACGTTGGAGGAGAAGCAGCAAACCATACAAGAGATCATCGGTGATATACAGCACAAAAAAGACCAGGTGTTGGAGGCCGTTCTGAACAAGACCAAGGACATCGTCGATAAGTTCGCAAGCAAGACGGAGGCGATCGTGGATGCCGTGTCCAATCACAACTTGGTCGAGAGCGTCGTCGACGCGGTACAAGAGAAGAAAGACCAAGTTGTCAAAGCTGTGTCGAATGTTGCAGCGGCGAAGCAACAGTTCGTCAAAGATATCGTTCAAAGTATAAACGATAAAGTACAACCCGTTGTAGATGCAATTCACGAAAAGAAAGACCAAGTTGCCGAAGCCATGTCGAATGCTACAGCGGCGAAGCAACAGTTTGTCGAAGATGTCGTTCAAAGTATAAACGATAAAGTACAACCCGTTGTAGACGCAATTCACGAAAAGAAAGACCAAGTTGCCGAAGCCATGTCGAATGCTACAGCGGCGAAGCAACAGTTTGTCGAAGATATCTTTCAAAGTATAAACGATAAAGTACAACCCGTTGTAGACGCAATTCACGAAAAGAAAGACCAAGTTGCCGAAGCCATGTCGAATGCTACAGCGGCGAAGCAACAGTTTGTCGAAGATATCGTTCAAAGTATGAAAGATAAAGTGCAATCCGTTGTAGACGCAGTTCACGAGAAGAAAGATCGATTTGACGAAGCCGTGTCGAATGCTACAGCGGCGAAGCAACAGTTCGTCGAAGATATCGTTCAAAGTATGAAAGATAAAGTGCAATTCGTTGTAGACGCAGTTTACGAGAAGAAAGATCAATTTGACGAAGCCGTGTCGAATGCTACAGCGGCGAAGCAACAGTTTGTCGAAGATATCGTTCAAAGTATGAAAGATAAAGTTCAACCCGTTGTTGACGCAATTCACGAAAAGAAAGA